CTTAAATACTAAATGCAACTTCAGTAAGATGGCTCAAAATAAGTCATAAGAAATATAAATGGTTAATTTATTTGTAGTAAATTTAAGGACGAGGCATTGGTTAATCATGCAAAGTAATATAATTTCTGAGACTGAAAGTAACAACGTTAAAAAATATATATATTGAAGCCACGTTTTAGTTGCAATGGACTAATGCAGTTTCATTGAAAACATTGTCTTGCTGTCACAGTGAGTGAAGTTGATGCACTGTATGAACTATTTAAGAAAATAAGCAGCTCAAACATCGATGATTGTCTCATTCACAAGTAGGAATGGCAATCATGTTTGTCAGCTTGGAAGGGCCTGCGGCACGGCCCAAAAAAGCATGAGCCAGCTTGACTTGAGACTCTGTAGAACCAAGCCTCATTCTCGGGCGTAGGCCCAAGCCTAAGCCAACCCGTGCAGCTGGCCAAAATGGCCCAAGTCTAAGCCATTCTTTATTGCCTGCAATTGCAGGCTGCTAAGCTGCCTGCTTTTGGTCGACAGCTGCAGCTGCTGTAGCAGGAAGGAAAAAAATAAAAAAATAGAGCCCACTTGGCTCAGCTCAAGCTGAAAGCCCGAACCAAGCATTGTTTTTCAGCCGAGCCAAAGCTCGGCTCAGGCCAAAAAGCCCGAGATATTTTTTACCTGAGCCACGAGTTTCGATTTGCTTACATCCCTATTCACAAGGTAATATTGCATTTTTTTGTCAGGAATTTCGTGCCTAATTGTTTGAATTTTAACATTTTGTGTACGGTCTCAATACATCATTTTTACAATTCTGCTGCCTTGCAATACTTAGCAACATATGCTTAAATCTGATGTAACTAATGCTTAACACAAATAATTGTTTTTTTATCTACACTATTGTATAGCCAACTACACTATGACACGTGCCTTGCACGTGAATCTCACTAGTTTCTAAAAGAAAAATGAGCTTTTACACACTATCATAAAATCAAAATAGAGAGGCCAAACATATAGTCCCTTCTATCTTTCTCACTCTAAAGCCCTCAAGCGTTTCTTCTCAAATTTTCCTACAGGGACAGTGGAGCTTCATTACTTCTCAGTGGATGGCAAATTGTATCTGGCACCAATTTCTTTGGCTCTACCAGAAGAAAGAATAGTGAAGATTTAGGTATATATGCAATCTATGACAACTATATTATGATTAGACTACAGTTTCTAATCTAATTTTTTTATTATTTAAATCAACTATATTACATGTGTGTGTGTGGGTGCGAGTTAGATCGCATGAATTTCCCTCTAACTAAAATACTCTTTATACTTCAAATATCGTTAAAACAATGATAATATGAACTGGATTTTTTAAATTTTTATTAACTAATGTATATGCCTTTAAATATTGAAAAATTCGTTCAGTGTATAACAACAAGCTAACTATGAAAATCATTAAGAGCTTGTTTGAGTCCCATTTTTTCAAAACTTATTTTCAACCCCAAATTCTTCAATAAAATAATTTTATACGTAAATCAAAACTTTTCCTTCTTTTTTAACCACACATTTTCCATTATTCTAAAATATATGTTTTCCCCAAAATGGGGTTCAAACAAGGGCTAAGTTTGCAAATGAAAATTGTAAAAAGTGATAAATGCATGCTAATTTCACGTGTGCATATCATATGACTCTAGATTTTTTTTTTTTTTCATTAGATTTGAAACCAGTGCTTAAATTTTGGTCAAAAACATTAAATATTGTTGTGATAATTATACCCAAAATCTCTAATATCAATTGTTGGGAATTCAAGGATCACGTATCGCTCGATACCACTTGATATGAAACCAACTACTGGATTGAGACGTTGAAGTTATATGGTACAATAATGAAGTATATGATCGCAAGCAAATGAATAAAAGGAGATAGTAAAATAAGGTAGAAGAATTGTGAGATTTTATTACATCACAAATAATGAAAATTAAGAAATATTACAATGATCCTAAAGGCTAGTAATCACTTTTCTCACACTATAAAATTATATAGAAGAGTCTAATATTTATATGCAACTATGTAGGGCGACGTCTAAACCCTAATATATGAGTTTTAATTGAAGTAGAATGCAAAAACTATGTTAAAACGTGAAAAGGGCCCAGTCAGATAACCTTATTGCTTGAGTGATAAGCTAACGACAGGCTAGTGACAGGTGCATCGCTTGAGCGCTAGGCGGGTGATAGGCGAGCGACCAAGTCTCGGGAAAAAAACTACAGGTGTTGCTCGAGTGGCCAACTAGCGGTAGGCTAACTAAAATACGACGACTTTTTTTCGCCGTCTATAATTACAACATCTTCAAGTCCAATACAAATTTCAACTCCCAAAAGGACTTCTAAATAGAATTTCAACTTGAATATGACTCTAAAAATATTCGAAACTGAATTCCTCTTAACGTGTACTTCAATTAGAATTCTTCAATTACTTCAACAAGGAATTCGGATGCCTAAATTCTAACAATCTCCATGTCGACACGAATTCCCCTTCAACGAACAAAGTTCCAAAACTTTTCCACCTAGAGAAGAAAATTTGTCTGCAAGGAATGAACTGACTCTTCAACAATAACTAAAACTGATTTCTCAAACAAACAAAAAACACTCAACCTTTTTCAATGAATCCAAGCACTACTCTACAGAATTATCTCAAATTTCAAAAAAAATCATAATGATTTTAAAATTTACCGAACTGGGCTATAACATACCCCAAGGGAGAATCAAGCCCAAATGCTTTTAAAAAAGGCCCCTTGTTAGATTGTACACATTTACTACACTGAAAGCATGCTCAACAAAATCAGCATTCTTATACCCTTTTCCATTGGGTCCATCCTTAGCAATTGAATATAATAGCACCGCAAGTGATGGTGGCAAAATGGCATTATCCATGTCTCCTGAACTCATTGAGCTATATTTTTCATATCTGACCGTTTACGAGCTCCTAAAGGTATTGAACCAAACTGAATGTCCACCATAGTATTGAACATGTGATGATTGACTCTTCTAGATTCTGCACGACCCTGTAAGATGTATTGAGACCTTTTCTATTCCTCCAATATAAAGCTTCACCTCCACTAAAGAACTCATAACCCTTTAAATCAAGGATTGACAACGAGATGAGATTCTTCTTCAAATTCGAAACATGTCGAACTTAGCCAAGTGTTCTAATTGTCTCATCCAATAGCTTCAATTTGATCAAACCAATTTCAGCAACCCAATAAGGTGTGTTGTTTCTCATAGCCACGACACATTTGTAAACGGTTTCATATGTAGTAAATAAGTCCTTATTAGGACACAT